ACGCGGCCAAGGTAAACTCGCTCGCCGTCCCTTCATGCCGGCGATGAAAAGTGCAATGCGCCGCGTGAATGACAGGCAATAGACGATGCACTTCTTGGCCACAGGACCTCGGACCGCAGGACGGAGAGAAATAACACGTGGACATTATTCTGTATAACGTAATAATGTTTAAACTAATTCTCAATAACTCAACAACTTACATTCAGAGGTAAAACACGTATTACTAAGGTTAAATTGTTTTGGCTAAAAGGCACCAACGTAGATTCCTCGATTAATGATTTGCGTGAATAGAGGGGACAATTCTTTTTGACGCGCAATTTGACGGTGATTTTTCTTCTCATATTCGGCCTCCCCCCTTTGGGCCTCAAGGGGAGCAAGTTAATTTTTTGCCCATGACGAACGAACCGTGATCAGATGAGCGATGACAAATATTAATAAAAAACAGAGCATGATGGTCCTTGGAAGTTCTCCGTAACATTGCGTTTAACAGCGGCTAGATCAACAACGACAGCGGGAAGGGGCCGGCGAGGCACTCCTGTGAGCGGGAACTGTACTATACGTGACTCGGAAATGGAAGGGAAACCGCCTTGATTAAGGCTGGATTGACTTGACATCAGCTAAACTGGAGTCTGACCTGACAGAAGTTGGACAGTTATCAGCTTTTAATATTTTATCGCATGTGGTAATGCTTAATGCTGGGACAATAGGTATGACAACATGGACAATGCGTTTCTGGTTGCTTATGGGTCAAATCTTGTTGGCACGTTAGAGGTTGGCATCTACAGCTCATTCAATGAAATAAGAATCCACTGACACGATTTGAAAAATACTAGATTTTTTTACCAAAAAAAAGGACAAATCTCCCCTTGTTTAGATTTCAGAACATGTATAATTCGGGGGGGAAAGTCGGTTTCGTCAAGACGTGCCTCAAGAGTGTTAAGTGCAGAAAGTACCATTTAGTATACCGTTCAAAGAGAAGAGAAAAATATCGACATGCATTATTCGAAAGCCAGCCGAAGCAGACGATCAGGGCCCTATTTTCTCGCTCTTTCCTTCCCGCCTTAATTCGTCAAATCAAATTTCACGGTGCTGGGCCCACTAGCGCTGCTGGAATCGCCGAGACAAATGGTGGGTGACCCGTCAGGCATAATGACAATTCACCTTTAACACCTCGAGGCATTGAGCCAGACTGGTTAATGCGACCCCAGTGCTCCGTTGTTTCCTGCCAACGGTAACTACAGCCGTTCGGCTAGGTGTCGTCTTCAGCGGAACTGCCTTAACAGGAATGCTTGTTACCATGACTTTGTGAACACCATCCAGCTTGAAGCCACGATGATAATACTCGGAGATCCAGTTTTACTTTCACTGTTCGATTTAGGCAAAAGACTGAAATCAAGACATTTACACTTAGCTTAGAACAGTCCTAACACTAACGTGCAAAGAGAAAAAATATTTTCAATATACAGATTGAACTGATAATAAGTTATCATGGTGTGGGCCTATGTAATATACGCACAAACTGTTTTGTCGACAGGAATAATGACATATATACCATGTTCAAAATAGTATTAGTTGTCAGCTCTTCACATTTCGAATGAAGTGAAGATCCTATATCTGTCAACAGTAGCAGATGGCTCTCTTTAAACCAAAGTCGGATAAGCATTCCGTTTCGGGTGTTGACGATTTAGATCCGCGATCTTCCCTGAACCGGCGATGGTTTTTATTCATGGCAGCGTATCAGCCCTGCAGCCCTCGCGGCCGGGCGGTGGGCTCACTGACCGCCTTGAATGGAATCGTACACGACAGCAGCCCGGAGACCGCCACTTTGAGCGCGAAATGAGAGAGGGCGGGAGGCCCAAAATTATCGACGAAATGTAAGTTAATCTCGCGGCTGTTGGGGCGGTGGTTTGGATACGGCTGAAGGCGCGCGCGCACACAGGCTGTGTGGACGCGAGGTGGGGGGTGTTGAATGAAACGGCTGTTTCGTGGATAAGTTTAATCTCAGTCACGACTAGGTGCTCTCCAATGGTCTTTCATATTCACTGGCAGGTTTCAAGTTGATAGCTGAAGACAGAAAATCATACAGCACCAAAGTACATTTGAAATCAGTTTACGGAAATAATCTAGATTGCTCTTATAGACGTTGAAGCACTTGACATAATGTTTGGAAATAGCATTAAACGACATTCGATGAAATGAAGCTGTCGACTACATTCGTCAGCTAAATGGCCATAATTGAAACAACGTCTGACAAACGGATCCTGACAATGCAACCTTTAATGTTGTGAACGCAATTACTTTCTTTAAAGATGAGTATGGACATTCAAATGTCAACACAAGACCTCGAGGAATCGTTTACGAAAGCCAGCCTGACATTGCGGCTGAGCAGCGTGCCATCATTACATTGGCTGCTGTCAATTTTGCTTTAAGGTCACTAAATGAAGTATTAGTAAACAGCCGTTGCATGTCGAGCCAGTATGACAATCTCTTTGGTAGAACCGTGCAGGCAATGCTCTGTCTTCTTCGAATTGTTGGTGTTCGCTTCCCTGTTTCTTTCTTTCTTTCTTTCTTTTCTCTTCATTTTTAATCAGTAGCAATTTTTTTTATCACTATCTAACAAGTATTAATGTAATATACATTCGACTGCGCGTAATGAAGACAAAAATATCGATTTCGACGGCAATGTTTAATCGGCGAATAACACAGATTAAAACTCTCCATTGCAAATGAATGTTTGACAGATTACCCGTTAAAATCATGAGGGGCACTATTTAACAAATTGCAGCTAATGAGTGGCTCGTGCCAATCAACGCGGGAGGGCGCTGTAGCCCCCATTCGAAATGGGCCTAATTAAACACGGGAAAATGTATTGTCACGATGACGCTATTAAACACGGTATGACTGAAAAAAGTATGATGTTAACTTTGAGCGTTAAAGTTCAAAGATAAAAAAGTGACTTTTTTCCCCAACATATTGTTGAAATGTTGACATTTCAAGCTTTGAATATCCCATTTCAACAACGAAGCCACTGTTAATTACCCGGCTGCATGCATTTTATAATGATCGCCGTTAAGCTGTATTGGGCAGTGCCAAGAGCAGTTTTTTTTCCTACGGTAAATGCCCATTTAATTCTCTGGACCTCATATCCTCCTTCTTCTCCAATATTATCTCCAGCCGTCTGCATATGTGGGAATCCATTTTAATCCAATTAAGACAGCGTATAAGGTATAGTGGCAATTAAAATAATTGCGATGGTCCTAAGTGAGACATTGATTACGCCAACTTCATTTAAACCAGATGCAGCATGGCTTAAATTGATAACAGCCATACGCTCATGCACACCGTAGACAAATGAAACACAAATTGTTTTGGTACAAAATAATAATCGAACATATTTCACTTTGTAATGTGATTTCAACCTTTGTTATTTTGTCCAGTTAATGAATTCAGTGATAAAAATGCAAAGCAGTTCGCATTTGATGATTGCATCAAGAAGTGTATTTTCCATAAATTTAATCTTGATGGAATCCAAACTAAACTTCGAGCCCTCGGCGACAATTTTGATGCCCCTGTGAGATTGGGGAAAATAACGCATAAATTTCGCCCTTTAGACATAAAAGAAAGACTGTTAAACCATCTTGAAAACCTCAGCCCTGAACAAAATGTGTCTTTCTCGATTCTTCCTGATCGACCACGGTACATGGCCGCAGGTAAAAGAATTCTTCGACGCGAGATTTCTCGAGTTTTCGGTTTCAGATCCCCGCCGGAGGGGGAAGAAAGCTGACAAGGGTAACAACAGTGGTCAAAATAGAAAGAAGCTGTGACGAATTGAGGTTTGTGTCAGTCACGTCAAGCGTGAAACACGCTAGATTTAAAATGAGACGCGAGGGAACAGACGACTCGGTGCGATTGAGCTGTCAATCGGAAAATGGCATGTTGAAATTTCAACAAGAAAACAAATAACAAATTTGGATTTTGTACCCGTCAGGTATATGGACGAACTACCAGGGCACTCATAATTTGTAAGAGTGTGACTTGCCCAGACACATGTCACGTCTGTGTGGGATACAGGCGTAGTCCTTTCTGCCTCTGTTGTGTTGTGTTTCTAGCACAAGGCTGGCCCTTCTGTTAAACACACAAGGTCAGTCTCGACGTAAATACTCACTTCTGGAAAAGACTGACCGCCGGGGTTTAAACAAAGAACCCTAAGTACAAAGTTGGGAGAGTAAACGTATATATTTACAATTGCATTGTAAATTGACCTGAGTCAATAAAATCTCTCTTTGCGAAGAGAACATGCAACGACATTCTCATTCAGATCAGTCAAATTGCTGTCACTACGAAGACGTGTTTCTTTTGTTTGTGACCTTCTCTCTGAGCTTCCACGGCACTGTTTGTCATAGTACGGAAGTGTATTGTTGCCAACGCGAAAAAAGTATCTCGTTTAAACGATATATTATCTCGTTTAAATGACATGTGTGCCTTTGAAACGAGATACTAAGTCGTTTAAACGAGATAATAAGTCGTTTAAAAGAAATAATAAGTCGTTTAAACGAGATAAAAGAATTCTACGTTGGCAGCAATATGCTTCCGTATTATAGCATTCTAATGGAATTTCAGGCTATTTCGTCTCCTGACGACGGACTAAGCACGCAGTCCGAGACGTTGAGTATGCTCCTGGTTCTTTTCAGAACCACACATACTCATAAGAAATATATTCCTTCGCATGGTGGTACAGCAAGCGTTTCCACCTATTGCATTCTTATAATGTTAAATAGAATTCTGAGCTCGACTCTACCATTCTGGACTCCACAACCCATGATCTCTTGCTCGCAATTTCAGACCGACTCCACCGATGAGCTCGTCAGTGTCGATTAACCAATTCGAAACCAGATGCTTTTCACTTTATTCAGTTGGACATAACGCGGTCGAACTGTCATTTGTCATGACCGAGCCTAACATTTAGTATTGTTCTGTGGGATAACACATTCAAATCTTACCTGTCGTGGAAATAGGGCTTCCGGGAATTCCACTGAGACTACATTGGTTGATTGGGGCGATTCAAGACACTGCCTGTACACATTTTCGGTGTGGCCGAAGACCATACATTCCACAAGGCTTGATCGTACCCAAACGCACGTTCGTCTCCCTGGTTGAGTCCCACAAGCTAACGGTCAAGACCCGCTCTGTGCTCCTAGTATCGGAGGCTGTGCACAGCGGTGCTCCATCCGCACGTTTAATTCGGGTCTCTTCCAATAAGCTGCGCAAAATTGAGCTCGCAAAAAACCTGTTGCCAGTGGTTTCTCATGCAGATATGCCAATCTTTCTGAAGTTTCTACGTGATTGTCTCAACACCTTACGCCTCAGTTCGGACGATTTGCGAGAGACGAAAACATGGCCGTCACTCCGTGCCAAGCACCGCACTCTACAGTCGGAGTTCTCTATCCAGAGCGGTATGCTAGCACGTCAGAAATCGCCTTCGTGAGGCATGTACTTAGGCGATGGAACGTTAATGGCTGCATTTGATTGTGATAACCCGCTGCCGTGTGTATACACGAGCGTGTTCCGTCAGGTAATTAAAAAACAGTCTGGTCGAGTGTTACATTAGCAAAAATTCAGTTTGATAATCTGGTTTTTTTTCTCTCTAACTGCTGCTGCCGCAGGGCTTGCATCACGATGTGGGAAAATGACAGTAAACAGCTGATTGCCACTGGGTTGTCTGTCTCAGATGCCAAATTTGTAACGAGGATGTGTCTGTAGAAACGCTGGCCGGTGGGACACGGCGGCCCGATGTGGAAAATATTAGATCACAGTAGGCCATGTCCATGTCTTAAAGCTGCGATAGAAGTCACACAATGTTTATGGAGTAGGTTATGATTTACATAACCCATACCTTTCAGTTTCCAGATTTGCCGCTGGTGTCAATTATAGGCGAAAGTGAGGTCCGCGGGAAAACGATGGTCATAATTCATCGAAGACGCTCGAAGTTGGTTCACGTCAGGAGAGAATAAGACTCTCCTTGACTTGAAAGTGGCAATGTTATTCCGTCTGATGTGCTTTGTCCGGGGCTAATCAGGATGCTGACAAGGAGCAGGGAAACAGGATGACTCGATACCAGGGGCACCCCGCGGAGACCCACCGCACTCCCCCGTCAAAGGCGTCTCTCAACCAGTGCGCCTCCCGCCGCTTTATGTACACGGCCCGGTGAGCCGAGCCATGCGATCTTCTCTCGGTAATTCGCTCCAAATTAGCCGGATCACACCCGCGCCGACATAGCTCACGTGCGTGACGGGCCCGGTCGAGAACTATACCACAAAAAAGAAACAAAATTTTTCCACAGTTAAAAGGAGGAATTTTGATTAATCATGACTAGCGCTGTATCACTTTTCTCATGAGAAATAATTATTGCTATGGGCTGCATGACAGGCGTTGGAGGTGTTGGCGGCACGCGCCCAACAAAAACTGAACAACGACTTTGGGGAATGGGAGCTTGGGCCTCTTTCAGGCTCGCACCGTGCGATCGTGATACGGTTGGTTAGGCAGCGTCAAGCTCAGTCAAGACGGCTGACAGAGGAGCTTAACCCCTGTGGACGTCGTGGCTGCTGGCGCGCTAACCAACCGAAATGCGTAGCCTTGAGCCACAACTAGGCAGCCGACTCGGGCGGGGGGGGGGTGTGTGGTCATTACTATGGAGTGCCTGTTGCGTCATAAATACTGATGGCAAAAAAATTGGATGATGCCGCCGGGCTGTGGGTTTCTTTCTTGTTCGTCTTGGACTGACTGCTTGACTCAAAGGTTAACATCAAGATTGGCATGAATGAAAAATTCAAACATACATTTGCAATGCAAAATGTTGTAGATCTGGAAATGCAAACAAGTTATCTTATATTAGATTGTAATCCATAAAACTAGAACTCAACTTATTTGAATGCAAAACATTACAGATTGCTTATCCTTCCTTTCCAAGCTTTCTGAAGCTTTAATTTGACACCTCATTATTTCACCTGGTATGGTCTCCTGCATAGCAAAGTAAAATAGTCTGTATTTACTTATTTTAAAATGTGCCACCAAAAAATGAGGAAAAAACCCACCGTGTAAGGGCCAGTGACTGAATTTTAACGGTCTCTGCTTCATTTACCCATAGAGAAAAATAAATAGCATGTAGTGTCGGCATTATTATTTTATCTTATTGACACGAACTGTTTTCCATAAGAAAGAGTTGAGCTAGGAGCTCCATCGGACCCCGCAGCCCTATGGGCGCTGCTGAGCACCGTCGCACAAGCCGAACGCGTCGAGGCAGAAAAAAACCCGAAGCCTACAATATTCAAGTTGAAGGATTTAATTAAAAGGAACCACTGCCTCGGATTATACGATTTCCTCTGCCTCGTTTGCGGTCAGCGAGTTCGGGGGGGACCAAATCGGCGCTGGGGACACTGCCTGTTTAGGAAAAGCGGCGTGTGCGAATATCGCTGGGGCAATGTGGAACAGTAATAATCACTGAAGCGCTCCGCATGTGACTCAGGTCGGTGATGGGACTTCCGGAGTTGAGATTTTAATCTCAGGTTTTTTTTCCAGAGAGAGTTCACGAACGGGAGGATAGTGCTTGCTGTCGGGCTAGTCCAAGAGTTCTGGCGGTTCCCATGCTTGAAGGCTTGCGCACTTTTTCGTCACTACGTTCGGAGATTAATTTCTTTGGGGAAAACTTTCTAGATTAGAAATGAATTACTGAGAGTGTTTTAGAAGCCTGTCCCTTTTGTCAATCATGTACTTGTGATGTATGACCTTTTGTCAGCGAAATACTGACAGGGAACCAATGCTTGATAGAAAATTGAAAGCACATTTATCAAAAACTAATTTGAAATGGACTGTGCTTTGGATTTTCCGTAATTCAAATAAAAAGTGATATTTCCACGATAGTTTTCAGTTGAGGTTAACCAGGGTGTACTCTTCTTTGACGCGTTTTTAAAGGTACAGTGATTTGAGAGGGATTTTCGGTTTTTCCAAATTCGTCCGCTCTAAGAAAGAACTATGGTTCGCCAGCCGTTTTTCTCCTCGTCATCTGGGAAAAAGGTATATCACAGTTCAGACAAGCATTTGTTTTCCATGTGGCAAAACATTGTGTCCGGTTTTCCTTTCCTCCTCAAACTAATGTGCCGCCCTTCTGTGTTTCGTCTTGCCATTTCATCTGCGCTGCAAAATATCGCATTTCACCATAACTGTGCCCGGGTTTCAGCAACTTTCATTCCTGATAGGAAGTGGTCCTTTTTTGCGGGCACTAATCCGAGCGAGATGGCGACAGAGTTCTCCCCTCCGACACAGGATTCCGCGGGTTTCCTCGGGGCTCGAGCGTTGGGGATCGACTGTCCCGCACGAAAATCTCTCCAAAAAGATACTTTCACGTAGCTTTCCGTGGTAGACTACTTATCATCTGCCGGGCTTGCTACCTGTAAGCAATCAATGCAGTTTCGGGGGAGGGGAACCAAGTGTAAACGACTGTTTTATGTTTTCTTTTATTTTAAACCTCAGAAATCCTGCAGTATTTCGCATTAAACATCCAATGGGATAACTTGAATACCCTTTGAATTATGAAATGTAGCAACCCCAATCAGTTTATGTTTTAAGATACCCCAGATGCTGAGCTACAACATAGTATTTCAACTGCCGTAGAGACTTGCAGTCTCAATTTTATGGCTTATGGCGTATAATGGAACTCTTCGGCGCTTCAGCATTTCGTATAGGAGACACGACAACAGGAAACAATTAAAACAGCGTTGTGAGCTTAACCCGGTATCCTGTCTTCTTTTGTTAGATAGGAAGCAAACACACAAGTTCCCTGATTTCACCGTGGCTGCATTGCGTCATGTCTATGCAAATTATACGCATTCAATGACTCCCAACAATACCAGGCAAGTACAGTAGGTACCAACATTTAGTGAGCCTGTTTTTTAACCAGTGGTCTGTTCACGGTGAGGTTTGCGCAATCTGTGCTATGGTCTCGTGAACTCCCACTCGTCAAATAGCCGTTCGTTCAACTTCTTGCCTTAAAATAAAATCAATAGGAGAGCTTGCACTCTTCCAGCCATTCTTCGATCCGTAACATGCTGTCTAAATTTTGCCTTGGTACGGACCGACCAGGCGTCGGTAACGCCAACGGGTTAGCGGGGACGGTGTATCGCGCTGTTTCTCCGGCTCTCATTGCCACGAGAACACAAAGCGCTTTGTCCAAGCCGGTTCAACGCTCGCAAACTGACGTGCTCACACGATTATTCTCCTGAACAGATATATTGCAAACAAACAGTACATGTGAGCGAGGTGTAACATGGTCTTATATGGGGATCTATTTCACGGCATCGGACACCATCTGTATATGACGGTAACACCTTTCGAACCATGGGTTGGTTTTCATACACAAAATGCATAGTAACCTGAGTCTTGGCAATTTAAAAAATGATTACATTAGACGTTGAAGAAAAGATGGAAATATCAGGAAAAAATGACCGTGAAATATGATGAAAATGAGCCTGGAGTTAGAAAAGGAAATGTGTAATTTCATACAGAGCCTCGTGGTATCATATTACGGTTTTCGTACCCAGTTTATGGCATGTGGGTATCTGCTATGCGATGGCCCATTACCAAATGTGATTACTACCGTGACGAATGGGTTTTGTGGCTCCCAAAACTGCCTAAGGGTCGATGAGGGGAAATGGCAGTAATTCAGTTGGAAAGACTACAATTTGGGAGAATGACTCCGAATCACGGCTAAAGTGCACTTTTTATATTTTATAATCAAGTCACTCAGCAGCACTGGTTTACCAATAGACATTTGTGAACTCTTGGTGGCAGCAGACCATTGCGACTCCAATGAGCATGCACACTAAGATCAAAACAATGACCAACACCAGTTTTTGAAAAGACAAGATTGCAAACAAAACTGCCAGCCGATCTTGATGCGTTGCTTATTACTCCTCTGTTTTACATCTTCATTCTTTTAATGTTTCAATTTTAGAAACACTTATCTAAAATTAACAATGCTAATGTCTCTATTCTGGTCGCATCATTCTATATATAACGAATCACGGTCACAATAACATCTTTGAAAATAGCACCAAGAGCGTTGTTATGAAAAATAAACGGAATAACTGAAGTTATCCTTTAAGCTTTTCTTTCTGATTTCTTTTTACTCGGCGGGCATGATCTGCCGACTATTTCAAGAAAAAACTGGCTAGTCCCGGCTCGTTTTCCCCCGGAGATTAAGCCCCCTCCCCCAACCCAAAAAAAATAAGAATAATATCTACTGTCAGCGCACGGCCGGCCGCCCCGCCTCGGGACAGAGAGGCTCGTCCGTATGGATGGGTGTGAATAACTCATCAGTTCATCAGTATTATACCCGATGCGATTGCACGACTCTTTCCAGCTCAAATTGTATTTTCATTTTGTCCCATAAAGCCGGGGCAGGTTGCCCATGGTTCAACACGCCAGTGTTAAAGCTCTAGGGTTGTGAGCTAGATGCCAACGCAGGAAGAACAGAGATGGCGTGGGTGTTTCTACCTTGCATTGGCTACGTCATCCCTAATGAATTTAAAGCGATGGACCCTGGTTCCGATTCTTTTCTTTAAACATTATAGCCGACAAACTGTGGCATGATAACGCCCAATTGGGCTACCGTTGGCGAAACACATTCAGTCTCCGTTTTATGTTGTGCAGGCATTTTCATGCAGCATTCTGCTTGTCACTTTGTCAAAGTATACTACAACAGAAAAGTTCTGGAACTGAGTGTAAAAAAATGGCAAGACAGACGCAAAATACTGTGGACTTTCCCCCCCCCTCATCATTTGAATAATGATATGAGCATAAACCGGGCTTGTCTGGAAATGAGTATGAATTACTTGCTGGCTGTCGGGCTGTGAGACGATTCGAAGATGGACGACGGGCAATGCATGATATCAACCAAGCGTGATTCGGGTGCGCGACCGGAACGGCGAATATTCAGAGTACCGATGGTAACCGACAATGATGCCGGCACCCGCATGCTCGCTCTGCAGCCTGTCTCTAGCACGCCCCGACAAGGTGATAACCGGCGAGGCAATAGAAATTGTCAGCTTTAAACCTAATAAGCGAACTATGATCTAATAATGCAAG